GGGAGGTCCATGGCTGCGTGGAGGGCGGAGAGACTGTAGACGGGGCTCTGATGACAATGAGCGTGGCGCCGGGGGCAGGGAGTTGGGAGCAGGGCAGACTCCACGAGGCGGTGACGGCAGACACATCGGGATCGACCATTGCCGCAGCAGTTCGGTTGAAGAACGTCTCAATCACCCCGAACCGCATACCTCGCAGCGACTTCCCCGTATCATCATCATCGACCTCCCACCGCAACGCCGCCGTATAATCCACTCCCTTCCCCTCCATCACCCCCAGCAGCACCGCAACATCCCGAACCCCCTTCCCCATGGGCCCAACGACATCCTGGCTCCACGACGCCGGCATCACCCCGCGCGCATCCACCATCCCCCAGGTAGGCCTCATGCCCACCACGCCACACGCGCTCGCCGGACTCCGCAACGAATTCATCGTGTCCGTCCCCAGCCCCACCACTCCGAACCCCGCTGCCAGGCCCGCGCCAGTGCCGCCGGAGCTTCCACCGGGCGTGCGCGACAGATCGAACGGGTTCAGCGTCTGGCCGCCGAGGGAGGATGCGGAGATGCCTTCGAGCGCGAGTTCGTGGAGGTTGGTCTTGGCGAGGAGGATTGCGCCGGCATGGCGGAGGTGAGTGAGCATGGGGGCGTCGTGGAGCGGACGGAGCGCGGAGAGGGCCAGGGAGCCGCCGGTGGTGGGCATGTCAAAGGTGTCGATGTTGTCTTTGACGAGGACGGGGATGCAGAACAGGGGCGGGAGGCCGACGGTGGTGGCATTTTGCGAGCCGGTGGGGATCGTGAGGTTGTGGGATTCATCAGCGAGTTTCTGGCGGAGAATTTCGTCCAGGGCGTCGGCGGTGGTGAGGGCGGCGGGGTTCAGGGTGATGATGGCGTTGATGGGCGGGTTGTAGGCTTCAGTCTGGGCGATGAAGAGGGAGGTGATGGCGCGACATGTTGCTTGTCTGGATAACAAGGCGATGTGGATAGAGTCGACGGTGGCATTATGGGGGTGGACTCCAAGATTGAAGCCAAGGCGGATGGCTGCGGCGTGAGAGATTGATGTGATGGAGCAAAGGGCGAGAGAAGGGTCGCATGCTGTGCGGTGTGAGATGTCTCGCCAGCATGAGGGAGTGAGTATCCCAGCTTCTCAACGTCCATGAGATGCTCCTACAACGACGACTGACAAACAAAACGTCCCATGATGGGTTTCTGATTCCCACCGCTCCTTGTCCGTTTTCGCTAGCATCTTGCTCTATTTGAAGAACGATGCCGTCGCTCTGCTCCCCAGGGTGTGAGCGTCAAGTCCCTCGACGCAATGGCAAACTAGCAATTTACAGGCCTACTCCTCGGCGGCAGGATATCCTTAATTATGATATGGCTTTTGGTCACAAATTCAAATCAAGATTTCAGATTCAATTTATCGGCTTCAGCTGTGCCATGGAAGACTATCTACAAAGACTGAGCGCCCCGGCCCAGCTTGAATGCTGCATTCCCATGTTCACATTCGATGCGACTTGACGACTTCCAATCTTCTGCTAATCTTCTCGAGCGGGTAAATGGCCTATTAGTTTAACTGACACGAAGCCCATCGCACCTCGAGACAACTTACTCCGTACTGCGGACTCAGTGCGGTTCGCAGTGAACCACGATGCCCATGTTTCCGTTGCAGGTCTCGTACGGCGGGCCGTCGAGATGGCACCCAGCGGGAGTGCTATCACAGCAGAATCTGCAGCCGCCGAGATCGGTGCAGCCAGTTGGGGTGTCGCAGACGAGGCCATTTGCGCTGATGGCAGCAGGTTGGGCCGTGGCCACGAGCAAGAGGGAGGAGAGGACGGCGAAGAAAGAGAGCTTCATGATGTCTGAACTGGGCTTTTTCAGGCAAGGTAAACCGGCGATGGCTTGCTTGTTCGCTTTGCTTGTTGTGATGCTTGTGGGAGGCTTGTTGATGCGTTTTCAGCACGTCCTCCAGCCGCCTTTTATAACCTCCTCTCTCCTCGACCTCGCGCAGTGCTGTACAGACGTCTTGCAATCCCGCTCTTCGTCACAAAGCAATCGATGAGGACCGCGAGGGCACAGACACGGGAACTGTATTCCCGCCCCTGTTGCTGTCCGTGATCCCAAGCTACTAGCTGCAGCTTGATCGTGAGGACCTTTGGAGAATGCTCCGGGTTGGATCGCACATGGCAGCTGCAGGGACTTGAATTCCGTTTCGTTTCTTTTTCCGGCCCTTGTTTCTTGCTGTTGTTCTTCGACTCTCGCTAAAGTGTCGATGAAGGTACTCAAGGCTTTCATCCAGCGCGGGATATCGTGCCTTGGCTATCAAGTCTTCGCAGCAGCCAAAGGCATCGGCGCATCCAGACGGACCACGAAGAACCACCGCTACTGGGTCAGGTCACTGGCACCTTGCGGCATGGGAGGTCACTGGGCAGACATAAATACGGGTGCTTCTGCCGGATGGAGTACGTGGGACTGCAGCCGCTTCTCCGTGTCCCTCGCAGCGAGTTTCCAGCGTTCAACATGGCTCTCCATCGTTGGGCCGTCGCGATCGTCATATCCGTCCTGCATGGACATACCCTGGCTTACCCACGGGCAGTCACTGTGCCACCGTCCCCTACTGGCGCTTCTTGCACGTATGTGTGCCCCATTCGCGCCCACTACCTCTTGCCAATATGCGCCGCTGACAGATTCAATAGTTTGCACGAAGACCACTGGGACTGCACGTCGTTCTGCACCACGACTTCATCCTGGTCAGGCATCGCGACCACGGTCACAGACTTTGGCGCTTTCAAAAGCTCGTTGGACGCCGAGTACAGTACAGGTCCTTTCTCCGGAAACAAGGTGCCCGTCCATACGACCGCGTTCTCGTTTCCTGGCGCTGGGTTGATCACCGCTTATGGCTACTATGACTCGAATGCTCTCAAATCAGCTGGATATGAAATCATCTCTGGTGTGACGAGCATCACCGGGCTCTGTGAACCAACAGCAACCCTGCCGCCCTCCCCGACCGGCTCATCATGCCACCCGCACGGTGACCACTGTAAGTCTTTACGCTTTAAGATACCCTATGAAAATATCACTGACTGTGCTAGGGCATTGCGAGCCACTTCCATCTGCTAGCACGGAACCCTCGTCGCCGGTCGCCACATGCGAACCTCATGGTGACCACTGGCATTGCCCGCCAGGCGTCCCTGAGCCCACAACGCCGCCTCCTGTAGAAACATCCCATCCAGCAACTACAGGCACCTGTGAGCCCCATGGTGACCCACTGGCATTGCCCACCAGGTGTTCCTGAACCCACAACTCCTCCCCCGACCAAACAGCCCCCACCATTCACTACAGGTACTTGCGAGCCTTCATGGAGATCACTGGCACTGTTCCCTCTGGTGTGCCCTTATCCTACAATCCTCTTCATGGACAACTGTCTACAAACCAAACCCCCCCGTTTGTGAGTGTGAACCGTCCATGCTGACCATTGGCATTTGTCCCCCCTGGTGTGCTTGAGCCCAC